GTGTGTGTGTGTGTGTAAGAGTGTGTGTGTGTGTGTGTGTAAGCGTGTGTGTGGGAAACACAGCAGAGCCAGACTCGGACTGGAATGCTGTGCGTGTTCTGGAGGACCATCTGTGGCGTCGGGATGGAATCTATCATTCAATATTCTCATGACTTCAGTTACAGATATAAATGAGCATTAAAGCACAGTCTGCAGAACAGAGAGAAGCTGAATGTCCTGAAGATATAACAGAGAATGAAACACTAAAGAAAACACAAATAAACCCACTAACGCGTTCATTAATGAGGTTAACAGCAGTGCGCGTTCAGGAGAGAACTGTGTGCATGAAGCAGCAGCGGCTCAGACACACAAACAGATTCAGAGAAACACTCTCACCTCTGACTGCTTCCCCGCAGAGCGTCCCCAGGTCCCGATGCAGTAATCCAGAGCAGATGAAGATGAGGATGAGGAACCGGACCCGTGATGAAGATGTTCAGCAGCAGCTCGGGTCTCCCAGCGCAAACTTGACCACACCCTCTTATGCTAATGAGCCCTCAGAGCGCGTCCTGATTGGCTCACTCTGCTGTCAGTCAGATGGATAATAACATCTGCTCTTTTGTCCGGATTAAGAGCTCAGACAACATCACGCTGATGGAGAAACTATTTATATCAGTGATGACTGCTTTTCATTACACTGACAAAATATTTTATTTACAAGATTATTGAAGCACGTTTTACAAGAAAATACTATTTCAGTCTTTCTAAAAAAAACAAAAACGTTTAATTCAATGTGTTACTTGCTGCTTATTTGTAATGATCTATAAAAATGTACTACAATTTAGAAATAAATTCATAATAAATCTATTGGAACAAACACTTTCAGCTGTGCAAACACACATTATAATTGTAATTTTTATTTTTTACGTTGCAAATAAAATAAAGATATTAGAGCACGTTTTACAAGAAAATTATATTTTAGTCTCTCTATTTCAAAATTTAATGTGTAATTATTTAAGTTTACTGCTAATTTCTGAGTGGAAATTGTTAGGCTACATACATTTTTTTCCAATGTATAAAAACACAAAAAGATTATTGCATTATTTCAGTCTTTCTATTTAAAATATTAATGTTTAATTCAAAAGTGTTACTTGCTTTTTTTGTAATTATTTGTGAAATTTACTAGCAATTTCTGATTTAAAATATTTTCTACACCATTTGTTTCAGTGTAGAAATCATAATAAATCAGTTTTTCTGTCACAAACACACACATTGTACTTGTTACGGAAGGAACAAGATGTTGATCCTGGAACATTTACTTGGCAAAATCACGGCGACCCCATGGGCATACAGTATATTGCTTAATGTAAAACAGCGCAACAGTGACTGCCTCATCAGCAGGCTTGTTTATGAAAGGTGTTCCCATTCCTTTTCCTCAGAACATGACAAAAGTGAAACATTGTGTGGCACCAGTCAACCAGCTTTGCATTGTGAAAGTGTATATGTATAGTTATAGTTTGGGAGGTGTAGGGATTAAATAAAAGGGTTTGTATGTGTGAATGTATGTATGTATGTATGTATGAATGAATGTATGCATGTATGTATTCATTTATTTATTAATGAAATTGAATTCACACTTTTGGCATTTACAGAAACATATATTATCAATTATCAACCTCAGAACTCATGCCAGATATGGCTTTAAATATGGTTAAAAATCTATTTCTCTAGACTCAAAAAACAACTGTCTTAGTCACCCTCATGTTGTTCCAAAACCTACTGTTATGGAGAGAACAGAGGAAGCGTGCGGATCCATATGCAGAGCTTTATTCACAGGCGTGGTCACAAGCAGGCATGGGTCAATAATCAGCAAGCAGTCATGAATGAGGCAAGACAGAGAGTATTCCTAGGGCAGGCGTGGGTCATCGATCGGCGAACAAAAATCCAGAGGGCTTTACAAAAAAGGGGTAATCTGTAAACACCAGCAATAGTCCAGGCTGGGGCAAACAGTATCCAAGGCAGGGTCAGGCAAACAGGTAATACAATATACACACGCGAGAATCAAAGGACTGGAAAACAGGCAAGGCAAAACTAGACTGAGATTAGGACTTGGAAAATAAACAATGGCTAACGAACAGGCTCCGTAGTGTAGCTGCGCGAAGACAGTGGTGATGCTAACAATACTGGGCAGTGAGAGTGAGGAAGTCCATGGCTTATATGGAGGGTGTGTGATTGGCAGCAGCTGTGTGTCTAATCAGTGCAATGGATGCTGGGATATGTAGTCCGGGATGACATGCAACAGTTTGTGTAGCGTGAGAGTCAATGTAACAAAAGGGTGACCTCTGGTGGCGATCGGACGGAAGTCCATGGACAGGATTCGTGACAGTACTCTGTAAAAAATTTGAAGTTGTAAATAAGAGATTTGCAGTCTAATTCAGTCGTTCTACTTTAAAGTTTTATTTAAGTTTAATTCAAGGTGTTTCTTCCAGATCATTTGTAATTATTTGTGAAATTTAGTAGCAATTTCTGGGTAAAAACACCCATCTAATCTGAGCGGACAGTCGAATCACTTCCAGCTGAATGAATCTCAGTTAGATCAATCAATTCATGATGGGAATCAGAGTCTTTCACAGAGCCTGAATCTGATGCAATTCCTCTGAAAACCTTCCACCTAAAGCCTTTAATTCCTGTCTGAGGCGTCAGTGGATCTGACAGCGTGACGTCTGTTAGATGGCAAATGTTTCTCAGAGACTGAGAGCCAGTATCTCATAAAGCAGCAGCAGTGCAGAGAAGCACGACTTTATTAACACAGCACTAATACAGGCTTTCCAGAAGAGATGCAGCGATCATATGCAGTATGAATAAAAACCTAAAAAAAGGTAATTGCAACTTTTTATCTCACTCACAAACTCATAATTGCGAGATATTAACTTAATTGTGAGACAAACTCATAATTGCGAGATATTAACTTAATAGCGAGGCAAACTCATAATTGCGAGATATTAACTTAATTGCGAGACAAACTCATAATTGCGAGATATTAACTGTCACGGTCTGGTAAGAGAGCACCGTGGAAAAAACAGGGTCTGGGTCCAAGTGCAGGTGAAAGATGATTTAATAAACAAAAACAGACAAAGCAAAACAGAAACAGATCAAACAAGATCTGAAAAACAACTCAACCAAGAACAGGACCAGGATACAAATACGGCAACAGAAAGTGCTTGCATCCATGACCTACAAACAAGAATTTACAACTACAATACAAATAATTCAGCCAGGCAGAGCGGTGAGTGAGGAGAATATATAGTCTGTGAGAATGGGGAACAGCTGAGGGTGTAATGAGTGAACAGCTGTGGGGAGTTTGGGGAGATAATATGACCATGAGGCAGGTCTTCTCCATCGCCGACCGATGAGCCACTCCAAAGAAGTCCCTGCTGTACTCCTCAATACTCTGGTCTCCCTGATGGATGTCGAAGAGTTTCCCTGCTGGATCCATGTCTGCTGGTTGAATTCTGTCACGGTGCGGTAAGGGAGCAGGAAAAACAGGGTCAGGGTCCAAATGCAGGAGAAACTAGATTTAATAAACAAAAACAGACAAAGCAAAACAGAAACAGATCAAACAAGATCTGAAAAACAACTCAACCAAGAACAGGACCAGGATACAAATACGGCAACAGAAAGTGCTTGCATCCATGACCTACAAACAAGAATTTACAACTACAATACAAATAATTCAGCCAGGCAGAGCGGTGAGTGAGGAGAATATATAGTCTGTGAGAATGGGGAACAGCTGAGGGTGTAATGAGTGAACAGCTGTGGGGAGTTTGGGGAGATGGAGACCTCTGGTGGTGAGAGGGAGAAACGCAGGGCTGGACTCATGACAAACTCATAATTACGAGATATAACCTCATAATTGTGACATATAAACTTAATTGCGAGATATCAAGTCAAGTCACCTTTATTTTTATAGCGCTTTATACAATACAGATTGTGTCAAAGCAGCTTTTCAGAGTCAAACAGGAAAATAGTGTGTCGATAATGCAAGAGGACAATAACAAACAGTCAATATTTCAGTTAAAGTCAGATTATTGATTCAGTGATGTCATCGTCCAGTTCAGTTCAGCTCAGTTCAGTTCAAACAGTGTCTGTGAAATCAAGCCGACAGTATTGCCAGAAATTAAGTGTCCCCAACTAAGCAAGCCAAAGGCGACCAGATATCACCTCATAACCCGTTAGGGTAACCCGAGACATATGAGAGAAACACAACAGAATGAATCCAGATGCTTGAATATGTGTTTTTGGCTCAACTGGTCGATGCACAGACAGATGAAAGTGTCTGCTCAGTGTCTGGAAGAAACCTGACCGGAATATTCAGCTCAAAAACACAGACAAACAGCCTTCATTCTCACTGGAGCATCTGTTTGGCATCCTCGTGTCTGATAAATGACCAATTCCAGACTTAAAAGCATTACCACTGAGCGAACAGAGGATATGATGCAGCTCAAACTCAATGCTAATCTGCTTTATAAAGCATGTAATCACATTTTTCAGCACAAATCAATTCAGGCATGCAGAAAATCACCCTGCAGCGTCATCAATCATGCAGAAGTGGAGTGATGGCGCTCTCTATTGGACAGAGACGCAAACATCTGGAAACACACAGTAGACTGTTAATGAGACGGAACATTCAGTTTAACACCACATGCATCCAATGCAACATTTCAACTAACACTTTTCATTAAAGTTTCTCAAAGGACATCATAAACAGACAAAAGTAGTTTAACTATATGACATATGCATGATCTTTATGATGATTGTGCTGATGTATAATATGAATTCATATTACTTTGAAAGTCTCTCATATCTGACTGTGAATCCACAATAAACCAGAGATCAGAATCATATGAATATTACATAAACCAGATGAAACATCATCAGATCTCAGTGTTTGTCTGGCTTCGCGTCTCTCAGGATTCAGATCGACTCACATAAACTCCTGCACTTTGAAGAGACACAATTATGCTCAAAGAGTCTGATTAATATGCATGCATAAACGAGTCACTGAAATGAATGCAATATTGATCTCTGATTATGTCACTGACTTTATGCTAATGTGAAGAAATCTCTCTGTCTGTGATTTCTCATGAAGCTGTCAAAAAAGATTTTTGTCCAGGGGATATTTAAAATCAACATTAAATATTAATATAATGACATGAAAATGAAGGCTGATTTTCAGGACCATGGATCATGCGTTTTTTGCATTGTGACATTATTTTCATGACAATTAAAACAGGGTTATTACACTTAAAAACTAAAACCTTATTTTATTTCAGCTAGTTGCCAGCATTTGTCATTTTGTTTAGTTAACTTAAAATACTAAACAAAAACTAACAAATAAAATGTATAAAAACCATATAAACATACAAAAAACTAATAAAAATGACAAAACCACCACAACTAAAATTAATGAAAACAAAATTAAAAAAAAATCTAA